CGGCTTCGCCGGCAACTGTCTTCCCTCGGCGTCGCGAAACGGTACCTCGTAAGGAGGGTGGCGGTCCGTCTGCGATATCGGGCAGGCGAGGCGGGTTAAGCATTTTTATTTCACGTCTCCTTCATTGCTTCCAAACTGCACGAGCAGAGGAGGAAGATTTTCTGAACCACATGTGCTCGAACGTGGTCCGGCTCGTATTCTATTGCTCACTCACTTCAGAACTCACGGGGAGGAAACGGTGATATTGAAGAAAGTTGATAGGCGGTAACTTCTTGATCGGGTCGCCACTAGGCCGTAGTGTCAGTCTCCATTTTGCGTAATTGAGAAGATCATCGCACTACTTCCACGCCATGCGACCAATGGGCTGCGTCCTAGGATGAACCTCTGGCCGTGTATTTATTTCTTTGTATTGTAGTTCCGTCCATCCTCGACTCCCTTCTTTGGCGCTTTTTGCGCCTTGGCTCCGCAGTGTCTCCGTGGACCAGCCAGACCCTAGATTGCTTCTCTGGAACAACTTGCCGCACTGGCCACGCCTAGCCGATGGCCAGCCCCCATACAGTCGGAGCATGGCATGGCCGCCCGCCCCCCAGGCCGTCCGCGGCGGCGGCCCCTCGCAGCTGCCGCCCACCGCCCGCCCAGGCCCCCGGCCGCCCAAAATACATTTCACTAGCCGGCCTGCGGAATATGACCGCTTCTCTCATCAGGATGTGTACCATGCGGAGGGGGCGGCGAAGGCGGCTGTCGGGAGCGGGGCGGCCGCGGGTGGATGGCGACGCGGGGCGTCGATGACGGGGCGGCAACGGTGACCGCGATGGCGGGGGCTGCCACCGACCGGCGGGGCGGGGGCAGCAGGGACGGGGAGGCCGGGAGGGACGGCATGCAGAGGCATGCGAGAGGCGAGCGACGTTTGCGGCTTGCGTCGGCGAGAGCCGGGGCGCGGTGGACAGTGCAGGGCGGCGTTTGCGAAGGAGATTGAATACGGTGGTGCGCCGCTCCCGAACACGACTCGCGATACACAGCTGGGCGGCGGCGCGCAGGCGAGAACTCCGGTTTGCTCTGTCAAGAATCCAGCGCGCCAGGGTGGTGGAGACTTGAAAGGGAGTTGTGTGGAAGGGGAATCGAGAGATGACACCATTGATGCGAGGCTGCGTTGGCCACAGACCTGGGCGATGGCCTGTGAACGTAAGGGGTGATGCAAGGCGGCTGTGTGGAATGGCGGAGGTGAAGGGATCGCACAGTTGAGAGAAGAGCTGCGATTCGTGGTGTCGATAATTGGGGGGGGGATAAAGCGAAGATGGTAGATGTCGGGTGCTGCCTCCGTACGAGTGTTGCCGAGCCTTACGAGATGTCTGGTGCGATAATTGCAGTTTGCAGCAGATGCAGAAGAATGGCTGGTTTTAAACGGATGTCTAGTCGCCTTTGTGAATACTAACCGATGGGACCGTAGGGTATTGCAAAACGGTGCGCGTTTTAGCACGATGAGATGACAATAAAGAGTCGTTTAGACGAACAAGTCGTGAACGTAACTTGTGCCTGTCGTAAATCTGTCGCTGCTGGCGCCTTCTTCCCCGTTGAGCGATCAGTGAGGTAGCATCGACGACCAATTTACAGCTGGCGCATGTGCCGCGAATGCGTAGCGTAGTAGGGGGTAGAAAGAGTTGGAGATGCAGAATAGATGGCCAGGGACTGATCAAAACGTAAAGTTGGGACCTATAAGTATGGTAGAAGCGGTAGAGACGGCCTAGCTGATTGAACAACGCAACGGTTTTGGCGTCCGTTGGTAGGCGAGATGACTTCTAGATGAGCGATTATTTCGTGTTTCTGGGCGCGTCAGCTGGTATGATCATTAGTCCTGTAAGTGTTGGTGTATGTTTTACCACGGGGTGAGTTATAATCCGACTGGACGGTGTGATCCGTCCTACACATCGTCTTGCGAGGTTTTCCCCATTCCGTATCTTTTACTAGCGGGACCACGCGCCTGAACAAGCTTTAATTTCTCCGACTTGTCCCCGATACGTGTGGTAGTATAATCGTGAAAGTAAGTAAGTGGGCGGTGAGATGGAAGGACAAGGAAGAGGAAGGGAAAAATCGTGCGTGGCCCGTTTTATAGGGTACTGCTCCGGCATTCGCCAGGTATTGATCGTAGAAACCACCGGAATCAGAGCCGATCAGAGTAGCGCCGCTAGAATTTCCAGTCAGCGGATTAATTCGACCTAGTTCATTCATGTGAAGTTTTCCAGGGCTGCGAGGTAAGAGACACGAGAGAGGGAAGGAGAACCCACCTCGAAATCTAAGCGATGAGACCCGGGACGTTTTAATATATGCACTTTGAATCACAGTAAGCTATGTTTTGACAGTCACTTCTGCGAAGTTTATATGCGGGCGAGATCAAATAATAACATTTAGAAATGATTCGCTTTCCTTTCACAAGCGTTTACTTGGACTGCTAGGATCTGGGAGCGTACTTATATTTTTGTTCCTTCCGCCAACTAGAAACTTCCCACGAAACCGATTGGTATTTACTGTAGCATGATATAGAAAAGAACACATTAAAATATTTTATTTTAACCAACTTTTCTTCAACGGTATTTTCATTTAAGAGTCGGTTTTATAAGAGTGGGCTGCTCCGTCCTCTACCTACCTCCTACGTACTTTTGAAATTCAATATCAAAGAATTGATATTGAAATATTTAATAATACTTTTTACGTTGGTTTCCTTTGATCTTACCATTATATATGACGATATATCGCTCAAACTAAATCCCCCATAGAAAGCTATTCCTAATCACCCAAGTGCCCTCTCTGAACTGGCACTTCAAGGTATCAGCCGGTGCTCCAGCGCATACGGCTGGCGGAAGAATACATTTCGCAGAGCGATTGCTGCCAGCCGATGATACTTAATTGGTTGGAACCTAAAATAATCCACCAGCCTGAACGAAAGCCTACAGAACACTGAGCAGTTGGGCGCGGCGCGACCTTGCACGCGCACGGCTTAGGCATGGAATGAGGCGGTACTGTGTGGTCGGTGGAGCCGTGGCGCAGGGCGACCGGGGAGGCGATGGCAGCGGGCGACGTCTTGGGCGGGCGGGCGGGGCGGGGCAGGGCAAGAGCGAGGCGAAACAAAAAGCTGCAGCCCCGCGCTGTGTATCGGAGGGCGGCGCGCCGCTCGCGGCCTGCGGGCTCTGTCGCCCGCGACTACACGCCACTCAAACGGCCGACATTGCGCGGCGGCCGGGCTGCCGAGACTGTCGCTGGGGCTGGCCCCTCGCGCACTGCCACGGGATCGATGTTCAACGGAGCAAGTTTGCGACTGAGGTGTAGTCAGAAAAACGTGCGGATGGAGTGATTTTGTTTATGAACTGATATATTCCGATGTACGTTAACAAGAACACACAATAGGTGAAGCTGTTTTATAAATGTTTATGTTGGCTATTACAATGTACCTTAGTAATTTTTTCTTCTTTTTTTTTTTTTACCTTTTTTGTTTTTGTTGAGACCAATCTTATTATGGTATTGTGCAAGCCATAATGCATACAATATGTGTTTCTTCTTGAGATTTTCACTGTTTAGCTTTTAAGCTCGTTTTCTTTTAGTACGTTTCAATTCCAAATATAAACGAAATAACACTATCCATAGATTTACAATAAACAACTTTGTAGAACAAAATAGACTGTTACATAAGACTTCGACCACTTTTTCCTCTCCACATTTCTCGGCGTGCATAACGTGGATAGCAACTAGCCTAATCTCATGGCGTGTAGTTGCATCTCAGTCATGGGGAATGGTATTCTAAACTTTTACGCGTGTGGTACTTGAAAAAGGGGTTAGGGTTCATATTTCTCAGCATTGACTACTTGCTGGATAGCTCAGTCTCAACAATCGTTGCCTCTGAAGGGTTCTCTGATCGGAGGCCCTAGGATTCGAGTTGCTATGGTGGCTGACCTTAGACACTAGTTTCTAGTATTCCACCAACTAAGGCCTCCCCCATAACTTCTAAACCGTTTACGATATTGTAATGCAGTTTTCGCTCAACACTGAGAATCATGAGGCTGTAAATATCGCGTAGATAGAGTATATTTTTTGTAATGGTTTTAGTTTCTGAGCCCATTTAATCATCTTGATTTTTTGAAATAAAACTAATATTTTTCTTAGTAGCAATGGTTGCCCATAAAAAGAGGAATGCAATATTTAGTGAATATTTCGAATGTAATTTGAGTATAAAATTATACTTTCTGACATGTGA